CGATGAAATAGACAGTAATCGCCATGGGGGGAGGAAGCAGTGCAAGCTGTGCCTCAGTGCAAGCAGCGCGGTAACTAGCGTCGAGCGAGCGGAGGTGAGCGATCAAGTCAGCAGAGCGCTCAAACGAGGCGAGATCAGGAAACAGGAACGGGAGGAAAAGACGGCCAAGAGAGACAGTAGCGGGAGTAGAGTAGCGGGCCTTAATCGCAGTGAGGTACGCAGCAGCGGTGCGAACCTGAGTAAAGTGGACCTCCTCTGACTCAGGGAGGAGGCTGCTGAGTGCGATGCAGGCCGCAGCGTCACGCGACGTCCAAGCCGTCCGGTCAGCGCGCTGACGGGCAAAGCGAGCCGTAGCAGCGTCGTCAGGGGCAGAGCCTAAAGCTGTAGGCTCGGGGGGCTCGGGGAGGTCACCACTAGCGTGCGACCAGAGGGTCTCGCCCCCCTGGACCTGACTCTCTAACAGACGGCGAGCGCGAAGAAGCCAGACGGAAAAGTCAAGTGGTCTACCGTCAGCGTCGAAACGAAGAACTCGCGGAGTCGCCATAGTGAGAACTAACGCGAACGAACAGGCGAGTAACAACCGGGGAGAAGAGGCAAATTAGGGTTCAGGTGGGAAGGGGACTCAGTCGCAGCGGAAGAGCGGGCTAGGGCGACGGGCCAGGGCGTAGGGTAGGGCGACGGGCTAGGGCGTAGGGTAGGGCGACGGGCCAGGGCGTAGGGTAGGGCTACGGGCCAGGGCGTAGGGTAGGGCGACGGGCCAGGGCGTAGGGTAGGGCGACGGGCCAGGGCGTAGGGTAGGGCGACGGGCCAGGGCGTAGGGACGGGACAGGGCGACGCGACGGGGCAGGGCGGCGCGATGGGGCAGGGTGACGGGACGGGGCAGGGCGACGCGACGCGACGGGGCAGGGCGACGCGACGGGGCAGGGTGACGGGACGGGGCAGGGCGACGCGACGGGGCAGGGCAACGGGACGGGGCAGGGCGACGCGACGGGACAGGGCGACGGGACGGGGGGGAAAGGGCGGGCACGACGTGACGGGGGGAACGGGCGCGACGCGACGGGGGGAAAGAGCGCTAGGCGACGGGGGGAAAGGGCGCGACGCGACGGGGGGGGGGGGGGGGGGGGGGGGGGGGGGGGGGGGGGGGGGGGGGGGGGGGGAAGGGCGCTAGGCGACGGGGAGAAAGGGCGCTAAGCGACGGGGGAGAGGGCGCTAGGCTCGGTACTAGGCGCGGTAACAACGGAACCGGTACGAACGAAAGGTAGGATCAGGCTCGGGAGGGACGAACGGAGAACGGAGGAACGGGATCCCACAGGATCTTAACCTAGCTGATACCATGTCAAAATGAGGAATGATGATGCCATTGATGTTGGTTGGGGTACATATAACAAACCCTAACTTCTGTACCCCCTAAGACAAACCTCACTACAGGCTACAACATTTGACACTACTCATGGCTAAGATTGTTGACAAATGTCTCATCATAACTTGTTTTCACTGAGTCCGTGATACCCTTTTTAGGCAGTTGTTATTCCATGTCGGCTGCATTCATCATGTATAAGCTGCGGGTGGACATTATAGTTTTAGTGCAAGTTGGAGCATAGATGACTCTTATTTTTGAAGTCCACAAAACTACTATTAATTGAAAGTTAGTGTAATAAAGCACGACTTCTCGTCCTCAATCGAAGCACACCAAGAGTTATTGGGAGAATATGTCACACGTAATCAACAAGGATCTCGATAATATGTATGGGAAAAAAAAATCACGGGTACGATCACTGCAAAGGGTGTTTTCACGTGTTTGACAGAACTTCTCGCAGAATCAGTCACAGTCAACCGGGAAAAAATAACAGATGATACTCTCGCGCAAAAAAAGATAATACCCAAAACGAACCTGGATGCATTTCGGATGCAACAACCCTAAACACAATTCGCCAACTGTTTGGGGTTGATCCGTTCCCAAACCGCATCCGATTCCGATTGGGTTTTAGTTTTCTTAGAAGTTAGCTGATTGGTTGAGTGCGAGCAAAAATTAGTAGAGTTTCAATATTTGCGAGCAAAATATGTTAACTCTGTGACATATTTTCCCAGAGTTTTTTGCGTAACGCTCCTGGGAAACGCGTTCCCTTTGGACCACCAATCAGGTACATCTTGGCTGTTGAATGTTCGCGGTTCACTTCAACGGATTGGCCAGCGGACAGCGCGCAGGTGGTTGCTTCGATTCAAACCCACACTTCTGTCGGCACCTGACGTCAATGCACCCTAGACCCTACCTACAAGAGACCCAGCCAGCCCCCCCACCCGCTGCCCCAACACCAGGCACTCGTCCACAGAAGTCCGGCTGGGGCCCTAGGCTTGGAATTGGATTCAGGAGGAGAGCTCCCTCCACTAGTCGGGTGCACTTTTTGAGTACAGCGAACTCTGTGCTGTTGCACAGTGCAAAGTTTCTGCGCTGCGGTTGCCTCGCGAATTTCACATGCCAGCTGAACCAATCCGGGTGCAGAGAACGCGTCTCAAATCGACTTGGCGGTCGATAGAAACTCTTTTTGGGGAACTCGAACAGCCAATCATGAATCAGAATCACGTCACATGCGATGCCGGCGACTGTTCTTGAGCCTAACCTCAAATTCCATGCACCAATAGTCGTTGTCCGCGACAAGAACGGAGCCTCGCTGGTTGCCGAACTCTTCGCCACTGCCTCGGCAGAACACCAACGTAGAGTCAAGCAAGCTCGCTAACCCACGCCGAGCGATCCCGCAGGGCACGGATGCGCGCTCCGGTGCTGGTGGAAAATGTGCGAGTCTCAGCCGCACCACTCTCTTGCGCTTATAACTTCAAGCCAATTTCCATCCTTCCTCGTCTCACTTGCTTCGTTCTTCGGTTTTCTCGTCCCTCGGTTTCCTCCTCTCGACACCTCAACCCAGCAGTCACGCGCGTTTCTCCGGCCCTCCGCACGTCAAACCTCGATCCACCCCACAGCGCGCACTATCGAGTTTTACGAGGAATTTCTCCTAGACCACTGACCTGTCAAACTGCTTGTCAAACGCTTGTCCGAGTGACTGCGCACCTCTTTTTATATCGCCTCACGAATATCCAATCATCTCAGGCCAACCCTGCCAACTACAAGCATCAAACCATCGTAACCCGAGCTACAAGCACCAGGATTTCGTTTCCACGTCGTCAACCTCCGCACGATGTCACCCTGCTCGGTTATCCAGGAGACTTTCTATGGAGCGCCTACGGGCGAGGTTGATGAAACCCTACTAACCTCGCGCGAGTCGCAGGTCGGAGCGCTTGACAGTGTGGATGAGAGCTTCATGGCTAGCTGCGGATTCGTCAGCAACACCACCGCGCCCTCCGGGATTATACCCAGCAGCGCTACGCCGCTCCTCTCGCCGCCGCCGCTGCTTGCCTCCTCCGGTTTCGGCCTTCGTGTCAACGTGCCGACGTGCAGCAGCGAAACGCCGTCGCTCAGCGCGGGCATGGACGATTGTGATTATAGCGAGGGGGAAGTGGCGGCGCATGACGCGGATTCGACAGGGATTGGCAGCGACGGCTGTTGCTTCCCCTCGTCGTTGAGCGAATCGAGCGACGCGGCGAGCGACAACGATTTCCTGTGCTCGCCGCATTCGACGGCGTCAGGGAGCCTGTCGCCGCTCTCCGTGCTGTCGCCTGCCCGTGCGACCCCTCATTTGTCGCAAAGTCGTGCGACCCGACGCGCCCTATGGCCCGAGGCTGGAAGCGACGAGTTGTCGAAGGTCCCTGCGAATTCCGCTGCCAGCGCTGGGCCGTCCACATGGCAGGAAGGCAACCAATGGCAGCTTCCCGAGGATCGGCAGGCCTTCACTCCCGCCGCCGCTTCCCCCCCAGGTGCCGCGCCCATCGCCGCGCGGAACGCCTCACTCAACAGCAACGGGCAACACTCCGCGCAGGCTGCGCAAAGTTTCCCCCATGGGGCTGCCTCCGCGTCCCCTTATTGCTTCGCGGTAGCAGGTGGCGCTGGCGCGTTCCCTATGTACTGGCCCTACCCAGGCGCATTCCCCGCGCAGTATCCGCCCATTGGCCTCTGCGCGCAAGACAGAAGCGCCGCCGCGCGCGGCGCAAACAGCGCAAGCGGAACGTCCGGGGAGGCGATGGGTTGCAAAAAAGCGCAAGCGCAGAAGCCCGCCGGTGTGATCATCCCCCCGCTTGGGTTCTGGGGGCACCCGCAGGCGCCCGCGGTGACGCTTCCCCCGGGCGTGCAGCTCCCCCTGCGGTTGCAAGTGCAGCTGCAGCTGCAGCAGATGGCGGAAGGGGCGCAGCAGCGGCAGCACCTCCCCGTGGCGGTTCAGGCGCCTGTGGCCAACTGCCCGCGCGCGTACCTTCCGCCTAGGTACTTGGCGCCGAAAGATACCACGGGCACAGGTGTTTTCATTCCGCCGAGCCGAGCTGGGAACTGAGGGCAGGTGTTGCTGCGCGGCAAGCTTCGCTATACGCTTGGCTCCGCGAATCGTTATTACTGTGGAATTTATACTGCCGAGACTGAACGGGATCTATGTAATAAGCAGATAGAAACTATTCCTCGTGGGAGGCGGAATGACATTGTTTTCTCCTTTATACGATTATTTTGTGCTTAATTATCCTTGCTAAAACCACCCTTACCAAAATCAAAACCTCCTCAGCTCTAATATGCTGGTTTTCAAAGGCCTGAAAGTGCTGTAGCAAGCCTCTTAGGGAGATTTCTTTAGAACCTATATTTCATCATTCTAAAAATGAGATGAAATGCTTTTGATTATAGCCAGCAGCTAAAATAGTGACCGCCCCCCTTCTAGTTGGATCCATTCGTGCACAGTGCTACTCGTTTTTTTTTTTAACAGTGCTCTACCGAACCGCCCTCTCTGCAGCACCATTTCAAGCTGGGACAGGGTTCACTATTTTATATTTAGGTTTTGATCACACGCCTCTCTTACCGCTTTCAAATCATTGCAAGTGCAGCGCATCACACACCTCACTTGTAGACCTGTTCACTGACCACCACCCAGACAGTGAAGCACATATGCATCGCAGATAAGATGTAAGAATATAGCACAATATCCATGGGGAGGAATGCATCTTGCATGCTTGTTCGAGTAAGAGCGACAGGATGGGAGGAGAGGACGAAAGACGGCATTGTTCTCAAAGCCTCAAGCTCAACCCTTAGGCTCGTCAGCACATGCAGCTGGTGCTGCTGCTCCTTGCTCCCCCTCAGCACTGCCACCAGCTGCTGCTCCTGCTGCTGCACCCGCATCATCATCAGCAGCAGCACCAGGAGCAGCGTCACCAGCAGCAGCAGCAGCAGCGTCATCGGCTGCACCCGAAGCAGCAGCAGCAGTGTCGTTGTCGGCATAGGCAGGGAGGTCAAGCCACTGTAGCATCTGGTTGGACTCGACCTTGGACAGCATGAGCCCCACGTTGCGTCTGCCCCGCCACACTATCACCACCGCCTCCCTCCCCGTCAGCTGCCCGCGCTGCTGCTGCTCGCCTTGGGGAGAGTCTGCTGGGACGCAAGTGAAGACAGGGTGGGCGGTGGTGTGGGTGGAGAAGCAAGAGTTGCAAAGGCAGCACCCTTATTAAGAGAGTGGCGAGAGTGCAGGGATTGATCTCGTGAGTGAAACGCACTCCTCACCCCAAGTTGATGTGCTACAAGGTAGGCTGGCAACGGCATGCACCGCATCAGCGGCATCCCCAGCATCACTCCTCATCCCACATTCTCTCCCTATGTTAATGATTCCCTCGTCTCACACCCTCCCTTGCTCTCTTCCACCACCTACACCCATCAATGTTTCCGAGACCTAAACATCTGTTTTCTTGTCCGTCCCTCCTTACTAACACACACTGTCCCTTACTCTATTCTCATCCTTGCACTTCAAACCCCTCTCTACAACACCCTTACCTCCCACTCATCCCTCCCTCGCTCAGCACACCCCCCCCCCCCCCCCCCCCCCCCCCCACCTCCCCACACATCTCTAGTGCCCATGAACAAGAACCCACAGCTCCTCTTAGCCACTTCCAAGGCCCTCCCGCCTCTCTTCCTGTTTCATCACCCGAAGCCCTCTGCCCCCTCCCTCCCTCCCACGTTGACACCAAACACCTCTGCACTCCAGCACCAACACAAGACCGCCCCAGCAGTCCCCTTTCCTTCTCTACACTAAACCCACCCCTGCCTCCCTTCCTCTCTCTCCCTACTTTCTCGGCTAGAGCCCCCATCTCGGCCCCTCCCACCCCCCACGCACCTTGAAGGTCCAGCACCGGCACCGGCACCATACAGGCCGAGGTGCTGGCGCTTTAGTCTGCCTTCTGAGTGAACGCAAAACTCATCAACCCTAATCCCCCTCCAGCACACACCTCTGGGGTCCAGCACCAGCACCACACAGCCCACATCAGTCACTTCTACGGTCAATTCAAAGCCAATCCTCCTCCCCCTCCCCCCTCCTCCTTCACGTCCCGCTCCCCTTCCCCCCCTCCCACCCCTCCCAACACGCACCTTTGGGGTCCAGCACGAGAACCACACAGCCCATGTCCGCCGCCTCCCGCCTCCAAGGCCTTAGCAACCCCGTCGAAGAGCTCTGTGAGCAGAACCTCAATAGCCTCCCCAAACCAACACACCTTTGGGGTCCAGCACGAGAACCACACAGCCCATGTCCGCCGCCTCTAGATCCTTAGCAACCCCTTCAGTCAGCTCGGTGAGCAGAACTGAGCGCTTGGAGAGCATCACACGGAAGTCGCGCGGGGGCACGTGCACGAGCTGGCGCGTTATGAAGGGCAGGATGAAAGGCAGGCCCTCCGCTGAGAGGCGAAAGCAGCACGGCACCTCGCCGTCCTTGGTGCTCTGCCGCTCCTGTTAGGGGGGGAGAAGGGGGTGCGGGGTAGGATGCGGGGGGGGAGAGAGGGTGGGGGAAGGGGGAAGGGGAAGGGAGGGGGGAGGGGAAGAGCGCGGTGGGGTCGGGTTGGGAGGGTTGAGGGTGAATAGGGGAGACGAGAGGAGGAAGCAAGTGCACGAGCTGGCGCATTATGAAGGGCAGGATGAAAGGCAGGCCCTCGGCTGAGAGGCGGAAGCAGCACGGCACCTCGCCATCCTTGGTGCTCTGCCGCTCCTGGTGAGGGGAGAAAAGGGAGAAGGGGAAAGGGTGGGTTGGGGTGCGATAGGGGGGGTAGGCTGGGGGTGTATGGGGATGTTTGAAGGAGAAGGGATTGGAGAATGTATGGACGGGAGTGGGGGGCGAGAAAAGGAGGCAGGGAGGGAGTGGCACGGCACGGCACAGCCCCAACGGGTCCAGGCCACAGCAAGCATCTTCCAAGGTGCCTCAAGCCCAAAAGAAGCACCTGCTTTCTGTAAACACCACCAGCACCCCACTCAAATAGCTTCACCCCAGTGCTGACCAGACCAACTCGCATCGACCTTTGAGGTGCCTCACAAGTCACTAGTTGGTTCTTGCATGCTCACACATGACTCAGAACTCGTTTCAAAACTCCCTTCAACAACCAACCCACTCACAAAGAGCTTGACCCCAGTGGACACCATCTTGAGGCGCTGCCCTGACGCCTGGTTCGCCCTGATGGCCTGCGCAATGGGCTTCGACACCAGGTAGATGCGCTTGCTGTGGCTGGGCGCCTCGCTGCGCACGATCAGCTGCGAACGCAGGGGGAAGGCGGGGAGGATGCCGTAGAATGCCTCCACGCTGGTGATGGTTGGCTCATCTGAGAGGAACAGCACCGGGTCTACTCCCCTCCACCGCCCCTGCTGCTGCCGCCGCTGCGCGCGCTGCTGCTTCTCCTGCTCCTTGCTGTCTCCAGGGCCGGCAACAGCAGCAGCAGCATCTGGTTCGTCTGCTGGGTCTGCTTCTGCGTCTGCTTCTGCCTCCTCTGCAGGGTCGCCGGGCTCCGACACACCGTCAATGGAATTAGGAGCATCAGCAGAGTTTGGGCTCAGCAGGTCTTGGTCATCATCATTTGCACCTGCGTTCTCGGCATCAATACCAGCAACATCTGCATTCCCCCCTTCCTCCTCTACCTCCATCGCTTCCCCTCCCTCCGCTCCTTCACCCCCCACAGCGGCTTCTGCTTCCTCCTCTCCCTTCACCCCCCCTTCCCTGTCTCCTCCTCTTCTACCTCCCCTTCCCCTCCCCCTTCCCCTTCCTCTCCCTCGTCCCCTCCCTCTGGCATCCTGACCGTCCCCCTCTCCGTCTTCATCCCCTCCCTCTCCGCCCTCTCTTTCCCTCCACCACTCACGAGAAGGGGCTATTGGACAGGAGAGGGGGAGATATTGGGGCAAGTGGGGGAGGAAAAGGGGAAGTCGGTGGGAGGAGAGGAGAGAGACAAAGTTATGCAAGAGGTGGGATGTACGGACGGGAAGAGGCAGCAATGGGGAGTAGCAGAGAGGAGACGCATTCAAAGAGACCAACGTGGAGAGTATCAGAATAGAGTGGTAAAAAGTCTGCTTTTGAGTCGACTCAAAATCAGAATAGAGTGGTATAATTCTGCTTTTGAGTCGACTCAAAATCAGAATAGAGTGGTAATAAGTCTGCTTTTGAGTCGACTCAAAATCAGAATAGAGCGGTAATAACACAAGCAAGTGAACCTCGCCGTTTCAAACACGATGCTGGCACGGCACACTCCCACTCACCAGTGTAAGGTGCAATCGTGCCCAGCACTGCAAAGATAACACCCACCCACCCACCGCACCTCCCCCCTTCCCCCCCCCCTCCTGCTAGAGAGGCAGCACTTTTCAGGAGCCTCAATCACCGTCTCTGTCTCTCTTCCACCAAGGTCGGTCTGTATATTGGGCACAGAATGCTGGCATGGCATTGAGAATTCTGATCGCATGCTCACCACTGTAAGGCGCAACCTTGTCCAGCACAGCAATGAAGAACCCTCCCGTGTCCTGCTGGTGAGGCAGCACTCGCACACACAGCTCCACCGGCTGCTCACACACCTCCGCCTCCGCCTCCTCCTCCTCTTCCACCACTTCTGCATTTCTCCTCCACCTCCTGCCCTCTCTTTGCCTCCCTTCTGGTTTTCCTCCCTCCTCCCCCTCTGCTGTCTCTCCCTCCTCTCCCTCCTTCCCCTCTCCTCCCTCCTCTCCCTCTCCTTCCTCACCCCCCTTCTCCTTATCTCCCTCTCCCTGCACTTCCTTCGTGCTCTCCTGTTGCCCCTCCCCTTCCTTACCGCCCCCCTCCACAACAGCTGCAGCATCTTTGCAATCAACAGCGGGAGCATCAGCAACAACTGCGGCACCATCGGTGGCAGCAGCGGCAGGGGCAACAGCAGCAGTGGCAGCGGCAGCAGCGGGTGCTTTACCGGAGGGGAACATGGATGGGGTGGTGACTGCCCCTCGGTACACGATGCGCGGGGTATAGTGGGCATGCCAGCCAAAGCGATCCTTCACCTGCAGGGAAAGAAAGTGGTGGGAGCGAGAGGTGAAAGGAAAGAGTTGCAGAAAGCGGGAAGGAGAGAGGGAGGGATGGAGTAAGAGGGAGAGAGGACGAGGGGAGCGTGGGAGCGAGGGGAGAGAGAAGGAGAGATAAGGAGGGAGACGAGGAGGGGAGCAAGGGAGCGGCGAACGGGGTTAAGCGAGGGAGAACGAATAGTTTGTGCGATAGAGGAAGGTTGGGAGGCGGCGTAGGAGACACACGGCGGAACCGGGAGGCTCATGAAAGGGGGGTGTGCATGGTGAGGGGGTGTGGAGAGTGCAGAATGGGCAGCAGGAAAGCATGAGAGCCGCAGGATGGGATAACCGGAATCAGCAACAAGGTGACTTTCGAGTCGAATGAACAGGGAAAGATGGGATAGCAGGACTGCACGACCGGAAGCTGTGGAAATAAACATTTCCCACCGGGAATTGTCCAGCACCCCCTCGTCCCCCAGAAGCCGTGTTTTGAGTCGACTCAAAATTGTCCAGCACCCCCTCGTCCCCCAGAAGCTGCAAACGACATAACCTCCTGCTCTCACAATCCTTCCAATTCCTCATATTTCACTACCCTTCCCACCTTCCCACTCCCCACCCCCCCTTCCCCACCTTCCCCCCTTCCCCACCTTCACCTTCCCCACCTTTCCTCTCCCCACTTTCCCTCGCCCTACCTTCCCACTCCCACCCTTCCCCACCCCACCTTCCACGACTTGAGGCCGGGCGAACGCTTGAGGTTGGGAAGCATGTGCGAGCAGTCCACCAGACGCATGCACCCATTGGACTCCCGTAGGATCTGCCATGGGGGGGAGGAACGGGGACAATGGCGGGGTGGGAGGGAGAGGGTGAGGGTGGGGGGAGCAGGAGGGGCGGAGAGGAGGGGAAGGGGACGTGTGAGGGAAGCATGTGCGAGCAGTCAACTAGATGCATGCAGGCATCGGACTCATGCGGGATCCCCAGGGAAGAGGGCAATGGGGGAGAGGGGGGAAGCGGGAGAGGGAGGGGACAAGCTGAGGGCAGCAGAGAGAGGGGGCAGCAGCAGAGAGAGGGGGCAGCAGCAGAGAGAGGGGGCAGCAGCAGAGAGAGGGGGGCAGCAGCAGAGAGAGGGGGCAGCAGCAGAGAGAGGGGGCAGCAGCAGAGAGAGGGGGCAGCAGCAGAGAGAGGGGGCAGCAGCAGAGAGAGGAGGCAGCAGCAGAGAGAGGAGGCAGCAGCAGAGAGAGGGGGCAGCAGCAGAGAGAGGGGGCAGCAGCAGAGAGAGGGGGCAGCAGCAGAGAGAGGGGGCAGCAGCAGAGAGAGGAGGCAGCAGCAGAGAGAGGGGGCAGCAGCAGAGAGCGGGGGCAGCAGCAGAGAGAGGGGGCAGCAGCAGAGAGAGGGGGCAGCAGCAGAGAGAGGAGGCAGCAGCAGAGAGAGGGGGCAGCAGCAGAGAGCGGGGGCAGCAGCAGAGAGAGGGGGCAGCAGCAGAGAGAGGGGGCAGCAGCAGAGAGAGGAGGCAGCAGCAGAGAGAGGGGGCAGCAGCAGAGAGCGGGGGCAGCAGCAGAGAGAGGGGGCAGCAGCAGAGAGAGGGGGCAGCAGCAGAGAGAGGGGGCAGCAGCAGAGAGAGGAGGCAGCAGCAGAGAGAGGAGGCAGCAGCAGAGAGAGGAGGCAGCAGCAGAGAGAGGGGGCAGCAGCAGAGAGCGGGGGCAGCAGCAGAGAGAGGGGGCAGCAGCAGAGAGAGGGGGCAGCAGCAGAGAGAGGGGGCAGCAGCAGAGAGAGGGGGCAGCAGCAGAGAGAGGGGGGCAGCAGCAGAGAGAGGGGGCAGCAGCAGAGAGAGGGGGCAGCAGCAGAGAGCGGGGGCAGCAGCAGAGAGAGGGGGCAGCAGCAGAGAGAGGGGGCAGCAGCAGAGAGAGGGGGCAGAAGCAGAGAGAGGGGGCAGCAGCAGAGAGAGGGGGCAGCAGCAGAGAGAGGGGGCAGCAGCAGAGAGAGGAGGCAGCAGCAGAGAGAGGGGGCAGCAGCAGAGAGCGGGGGCAGCAGCAGAGAGAGGGGGCAGCAGCAGAGAGAGGGGGCAGCAGCAGAGAGAGGGGGCAGCAGCAGAGAGAGGAGGCAGCAGCAGAGAGAGGAGGCAGCAGCAGAGAGAGGAGGCAGCAGCAGAGAGAGGGGGCAGCAGCAGAGAGCGGGGGCAGCAGCAGAGAGAGGGGGCAGCAGCAGAGAGAGGGGGCAGCAGCAGAGAGAGGGGGCAGCAGCAGAGAGAGGGGGCAGCAGCAGAGAGAGGGGGCAGCAGCAGAGAGAGGGGGCAGCAGCAGAGAGAGGGGGCAGCAGCAGAGAGCGGGGGCAGCAGCAGAGAGAGGGGGCAGCAGCAGAGAGAGGGGGCAGCAGCAGAGAGAGGGGGCAGAAGCAGAGAGAGGGGGCAGCAGCAGAGAGAGTGGGCAGCAGCAGCAGAGAGCGGGGGCAGCAGCAGAGAGCGGGGGCAGCAGCAGAGAGCGTGGGCAGCAGCAGAGAGAGGGGGCAGCAGCAGAGAGAGGGGGCAGCAGCAGAGAGAGTGGGCAGCAGCAGCAGAGAGCGGGGGCAGCAGCAGAGAGCGGGGGCAGCAGCAGAGAGCGTGGGCAGCAGCAGAGAGCGGGGGCAGCAGCAGAGAGCGGGGGCAGCAGCAGAGAGCGGGGGCAGCAGCAGAGAGCGGGGGCAGCAGCAGAGAGAGGGGGCAGCAGCAGAGAGCGGGGGCAGCAGCAGAGAGAGGGGGCAGCAGCAGAGAGAGGGGGCAGCAGCAGAGAGAGGGGGCAGCAGCAGAGAGAGGGGGCAGCAGCAGAGAGAGGGGGCAGCAGCAGAGAGAGTGGGCAGCAGCAGCAGAGAGCGGGGGCAGCAGCAGAGAGCGGGGGCAGCAGCAGAGAGCGTGGGCAGCAGCAGAGAGAGGGGGCAGCAGCAGAGAGAGGGGGCAGCAGCAGAGAGAGTGGGCAGCAGCAGCAGAGAGCGGGGGCAGCAGCAGAGAGCGGGGGCAGCAGCAGAGAGCGTGGGCAGCAGCAGAGAGCGTGGGCAGCAGCGAGAGCGTGGGCAGCAGCAGCATAGAGAGGGAGGGCAGCAGCAGCAGAGAGCGTGGGCAGCAGCAGCAGAGAGCGGGGGCAGCAGCAGCATAGAGAGGGAGGGCAGCAGCTGCAGAGAGAGGGAGGGCAGCAGCAGCATAGAGAGGGAGGGCAGCAGCAGCATAGAGAGGGAGGGCAGCAGCAGCATAGAGAGGGAGGGCAGCAGCTGCAGAGAGAGGGAGGGCAGCAGCAGCATAGAGAGGGAGGGCAGCAGCAGCATAGAGAGGGAGGGCAGCAGCAGCATAGAGAGGGAGGGCAGCAGCAGCATAGAGAGGGAGGGCAGCAGCAGCATAGAGAGGGAGGGCAGCAGCAGCATAGAGAGGGAGGGCAACAGCAGCATAGAGAGGGAGGGCAGCAGCAGCATAGAGAGGGAGGGCAGCAGCAGCAGAGAGCCAACCTGAGCAACGACGGCCTCGTTCTCGAGGGGGTTGAGGGAACACGTGGAGTAGACCAACCGCCCCCCCACCCGCAACAGCGCCACCGCTGCATGGGGCAGAGGGCACGCACGCACATGCACATGCACATGCACGCACGGGGGGACAAGGGGGGTGATGAGAGATGGAGAGAGAGAGGGGAGAGGGGGGAAAGTGCGAGAGCGGGGATGGGAGAAGAGTTAGTAGGGAACTTTTGAGGATTTCAAAGGTGGGGATGACGAGAGTAAGAGTTGCGAACGTGAGGCCGGAACGAGGAGGCAAAAAACGCAAAGGACAGAGGTACAAAGCAGATGCACAGCACAGCACTCCAGAGCACCCCAGAGCAGATCCAAGGTGAGAACCCCAGCGCCCACCCCTCATGGCGATTTTGATCTGCAGCGCATGCAGCCCGTTGCCGTTGCCCGTGTTCCTGGAGGGCGTTGATGGGAGACACGGGACGGAACGGGGGGGAAACGGGGGGGGAGTGGGGAGGGGAAACGGTGGGGGGGGGATGGGGAGGGGGGGAATTGGGGGGTATTGGGGGTGAAGGGAACGGTGGGGAGAGTGATGTAAACAGGACAGAGTGAGGGGGACAGAGTGAGGGGGACAGAGTGAGGAGGACTGAGGGGGAAACGGGCAAGAAAGTCAATGAGGGGCAGTGGGGCCAGGAGGGAAGAATGTGGGCAGCTGTGCCGGTTCAGCTTTACGAGTCAGAGAGGCGAGAAACAATGGTCCCTTGCTTGCTCTCATGCATTGCATGAGGATTACTCATCCACTCCCACAACTCGTTCGTTCTCTTGTTCCCTCCTTCCTCCCACCATTCCTCCCACCCACCTCTGCACCCACTCACCCACCCATCCACCCATCCACCCACCCACCCATCCACCCACCCACCCACCCACCCACCCACCCATCCACCCATCCACCCACCCATCCCACCCATCCCACCCACCCACCCACCCATCCCAACCATCCCACCCATCCCACCACCACGCACCACTTCTTCCAGATATCAGGTGCCTTGCGCATGGTGCCATCGCCACTGCACGGCACGTCGCACAGAATGCGGTCAAACAGCTCCCCCTCGCCCTCCCCCTCCCCTTTCCCCTCACCCTTCGCCTCTCCCTCCGCCCCGCCCTCCTTGGTCCCCTCCTGCTCCTTGCTCTCAGCACCCACTGCCTCCGCCTTCTCCCCTTTCTCCTCCCCTTTTTTCTCCACCTCAGCAGCAGCGGGGGCAGGGGCAGGGGCAGGGGCAGGGGCAGCGGCAGCGGCAGAGGGTTGAGAGGAGATGGAGAGGGAGGGGAAGAGCTGGGCGGCGTGGTTGGTGACGAGGATGCAGGGCGAGGAGAGGCGCTGCGTCTGGTGCACCAGGAGGTGACAGCGCCTTATGTCCAACTCGTTTGCCACCACCTGAAGAGAGGGACCGGGGAAGGGAGAGGGAGGGGGGTGGGGAGGGGGATGGGGAGGGATTGGACATGGAGCGGAAGGGGGAGGAAGAGCGGAAAGGTGCGGGGAACGGGGCAGGGAGGGGGGAGGGGAAGGGGAAGGGGAAGGGGGAGGGACCGGAAGGGGAGAAAAACGGAAGGAAAGGGGAAGGAATTTGAATGTCTGAATATGTTGGTTATGCCAGGATGTGCAAGGAAAGGAAGGGGAAGGGGGAAGAAAGTTGGGAGGAGAGGGTGGAGGGGGGGGTTTGGGTGGGGAGAAGTGGAAGCGGCAGAATCAAACGGGCAAGGCAGGAACACAAGACAGCGTGATTGGAAGCCCTTTCTACTGCTTTCCACTGCCTCACTCACCCTCCGTAAGCACCCATTGACCTGTCCCTGCACACCCCCCATCGCCCATCCCCAACCCATTGCGCCAGTCCCCCGGGCCCCCCTGCGCCCATCCCCCATGCACCCCCTGCGCCCATCCCCCATGTACCCCCCTGCGCCCATCCCCCATGCACCCCCTGCGCCCATCCCCCATGCACCCCCTGCGCCCATCCCCCATGCACCCCCCTGCGCCCATTCCCCATGCACCCCCCTGCTTGCCCCACCATGCCCGAGGGCAGCTGCGCAGGCCCGCACCCCCCATGCAGCATCTCCAGCAGCTGAAAGGTCTTTGACCCTGGCGCCGCACACACTGGGGTGGGCGGAAGAGAGGGTGGGAGGGAGGGAGGGAGGGAGGGAGGGAGGGAGGGAGGGAGGGAGGGAGGGAGGGAGGGAGGGAGGGAGGGAGGGAGGGAGGGAGGGAGGGAGGGAGGGAGGGTGGGAGGGAGGGAGTGAGGGAGGGGGGGAAGGGGGGGAGGGAGGGAGGGTGGAGGAGGGGGGGTTGGGGGAAGTGGGCACAACCATGCAGAAAGAGGGAAGGGAGAGAGGAAGAGGCATATGGTAGAAGGGGCACAGGAGAGGAATAGCAGGGGTGGAAAAGAGTGGTGAGCCGGGGGGGGTGTGGAGCAGGGGGGGGTTGCGGCGGTAAGGGGGGAAGAGAGGAGAGGTTGGGATCAAGAGCAAGGGACGGCAATTGGAAAAAGAGGGTGGAGGAAACAGAGCAGTGTCTTAGTGTCGAGTTTTGAGACGTGTCAAAGCAGAGCGGTGACTTACTGTCGAGCACGTTGTGATGCGGTTGCACGTCCAGAAGAAGCGGTGGGATCTGCAATGCGCGCGCGCACACACACACACACATACCCACACAAACGAACATACTCGCATAACACGCACACACACACACACACATACCCACACAAACGAACACCGCACACACACACGCACACACACGCGCACACATACCCACACAAACGAACATACTCACAAAACACACACAAACGCACACACACACACACATGCACGCACGCATGCGCGCACGCACACACACCCACACACGCACACACACACGCACGCGCGCACGCACACACACACACACACACACACACACACACACACACAAGCACACAAGAGGACACACAGCAAACACAAACAGATGAGACGATAGAAATTGACGAGGGGAGGGAGGGGACGAATACACTCACACGAGGGAGAGTAGGGAGGATCACGGCGGAGAAGTGAGAGCGTAACGAAGGAGGGGAGACAGGAGGAAACGACAAGCAAGGACATGTAAGCACCATGCTCTACTCCACCATAGTGAAACACAGAAAGTCCAGCTTGCTACAGCCGTGCGATGTCCATCTGTGACCTTCATTCAGGGCGGAAAGAGCACCCCTCCCAGTGTGGAGACCGAGAGAGCTGAGGAAGGATGACCGGGAGGGAGGGAGGGTTGGCTTGGCATACCATGCTGACTGCCTCCTGGCGAGTGATGGCGCCAATCTCGTTCTCCCTTTTGATGAAGTCAAACAGCCTGCTCACATGCACATGCAGATGTGTGTATGCACGCGCACGCACACACATGCACATACACATCCATACGCACGTGCACAAATGCAGGCACAGAGAGATACACGTACAAATACACATGCCCACATACACGCCACCAGAAATGCGTGTGCTATTGCACTCACCAAGACACATTATTCACGCATGCACATGTATGTATTGTACGGGAAACACACAGACCACAGGGAAACGTCCGACTTTAAATGAGATGACGCATGCAAAAGAGACTCTCAGAACTCTCCAAGAGCCAAAGCCAGACAACACGGAGATAAAGCACACAATCTAGGCAACGATGGGGATGGGTGGTTGGGTGGGTGGAAGGGGCGGAAGGGGCGGAAGGAGTGGGGAGAGGGGGGCATGTCAAAAACACTTCCAATCACAAACACCACCTCCCCTCACCCCACCCCACCCCCACTCCACTGCACCCCAACCCACACTCCACTGCACCCCAACCCACTCCTTCCACCGCACCCCACCGCACAGCACCTGTTGAGCTCGGGCAGGGTGCGCAGCTGCTGGCGGGAGATGTTGAGGTGCCAGCCCAGCCTGTCCGGGTACCACGGCAGCACCCGTGGCGCCTCCACGCGCTCCCCCTCCACCTGCTTGTTTGTTGTGTGGAGAGGGGAGGGGAGTTGTGGAACGCGCAGGTGGGAGTGCAGGTGGGCGTGCAGGAGGGCGTGCAGGTGGGCGTGCAGGTGGGCGTGCAGGTGGGCGTGCAGGTGGGCGTGCAGGTGGGCGTGCAGGTGGGCGTGCAGGGTGGCGTGTAGAGCATAGGAGGGGTTCTACAATAGCGTTGGTGTCTGTACTGTACTGTGAAGCTGGCATGTGTGTGTGAGCATGTGGGCGATGCATGCAAGGACAAGCAAGCAAGGACATGCAAGCAAGGACATGCAAGCAAGGACATGCAAGCAGCAGCAGCACCCACACACCTCCAACGGCTGGCTGAACGACTCGGCCACATGCCTCTCCATCTCGTCGCGGATGTGCATCGCAAACGGACCACTGCAGCACACACATGAGCGGGCGACGGCGCGTGGGCGCCCGTGAAAAATTGAGTTGGTTATGTGAGAGGGATTTGATGAGAGACGTGCAAGTAGGGGTTGAGGAAAGAGGACGTGGGGGAAAGTACAGGTCAGATCAGCATGCAGCGAGAGGAAATGGTGAGCTACTGCCATATGGTTGGCCTAGAATGTCAAAATGTATGAGCCACCATGTTGAAATGAATGAGCTCTGTCTATCCGCTCTGCCCAACACACCCGTTATTGTCTCCACCGCGCTCTTTCTCGACAAGGTAAAGTGAGGGTAGAATCGTCACTAAACCCGAAACCTTGACCAACAGCCAAAACGCGAAACTTGAATTGAAAGGCGAAGCTTGTTCTGCACGACTCACTTGGGGTGCATTAGGAAGACGACTCACTTGGACAGATGGTGCTGCATACTCACGGAAAACGACATGACTTTTGACAAGACTCCTGAGTCAACCCTACCCTCTCCTCCTCCCTCTCCTCCTCCCCACCCACCCCCTTCAACCCCCCCACCCCAACCCTCCCCCTCCTCCACCCCCCCCCCCGTTATAATGGCACGCGGCACACGCGAGGGGCGGACTCACTTGGCGTTGATGCGGAACGTGGTGGGCAGCGGCTGGCGCATGCTGGCCACGAACGCATCCCACTCCGACTCCGGAAGCAGCTGCTGCTTCTGCTTGCACAAACCGTTGCCGTCGCCGCCGCCGCCGTCGCAGTTGCAGTCGCCATCGCCGTCGCATGCAGTGGAGCAGCGAAGGGCGGGAGGGGGAAAAGGGGAGGGCGGGTTCGGGTCGGGGTTTAGGGGACATAAGGGGTTTAGTCCAGGCAGGGAGGGCAGGGCGACGCGCCAGAGAGAGTAAGAAGCACAAGATTCAGCCTAGCCGATCGTCACCGCGTTGATTAGCGACGAGACTCGGCTTTGAAAGCGAAATGAAGGTGGCATGGCCTTTGAGTCGATCCACCCTACCCTGCACTGCACCCATTCGAAAGGCAACCACCCTACTCGCCGCCCGCGAGACAGCGACGGGAGAGAAATTTGGAGACGACCTCGTAAATGATCGACGGTGCGTTTTTGAGCCGGGTCGGAAAGGGACAAGTGGGAACTCGACGGCGTTGTACCCTGCGGCGTCGTGCTGCGACGTTGCCCGATCTATTTGCGAAATAGGGAACCTCAATCTCTGCGCACGCGTGCCCGAGCCGCTGAAAACGGTTCGGCGGATGACGAAGAATCGCCAGATGTAACGATAGATCGTCAGTGTGATTACAACCAAATGAATTGGGCTTTTCAGTAGTCAGCGACGAGGCGACAACGACGAGGCGAACGACGAGGCGACAGCGACGATGCGACATCGTTAGGTCACTGGCTGCTCTCGGAAGTGCGATCCTTGTCTACGACCACCCAGAGCACAGACGCACGCGCGCACACACGCACGCACACTCACTTACACATACTAGCACGCACACGCACACGTGTACATACACGCCATCAGCAGCCACCCTATAAACGGTGTATTTCCAGCCGGAACTAGCCGCCACAACACAAGGGTCGCCCACTACAAGCACTCTCGCTTAGAAGCACGCCTCGTGAGCCCCCGAGCCGCGAAAAACACGTTCACCCCTTAACAATTGAGAATCAGAATCGCGGATCCAAAACGCCATCCGATTCGCTAGCCAATCCGCCAGCCAATCACCTTGTAATACGACTCAAACGCCTCATTTTCCAGGACAAACGCCTTCCATGCGCCGCCGCTCGCGCCGCCAGCCTCGCCGCCTTCCGCGCCGGGTTGCCCGGCCCGCTCATCGCGGCGCGGGCGGATCCACTCGTTGGGGCGGTTCTTCTTGAAATCGCGGCGCATGTAGCGGGACCCGCGCCCGGCGCGTTTGCCGGCCATGATGCGAGGCTTCTTGCAGGCACGGTCAGGTAAGACCGTACTTGGAGAGATTAGGGTTTAGAGAGGAGTGGGTGTCTGGTCTGGAGTCCAGGATCAAGGAGATGAAGGCAGCAACTAGCAGGGGTTGGTCTTTGATGAATGTACCACACATGGTTGGTTCGCGCACTCTGAATTTCTACGTTACAATATCCTGTTTCGCTACAAGTGCGAAAAAAGTTTATGATAATAAATCCATTTTCGCCTAATTAAAACAAGTCACAACATGAATGGCCTTGCTGCTAGTGCATCAATCTGATCAACCCCCAGAGAAGTTTTGAAAAAGGCCGAAGGCACAAGCAGGAAAAAACTTGGAAACACAAGGATGCACTGGATACTTGGGCTTAAAATGATGATGAATCTGAGGGCCAGGAGTTATGTACCAGGGATCTCAGGCTTGGATGAATTTCGTGAGTGCCATGGGATTGCACAAGCTTAGGCACCACCAGACCTATACTAGCTATCTTAGGTTCCTTTTGGCACTGCATAAGGACAAACTGAGCATTCAATAGTATAAGAAACGATTCACTTGTCTTTGAGAAGTACAACAAGGAGCATGCATAAAATCCACCTTCAATCATATACGAAATGAAGGACTGCAATGAACCATTGGAGTCCTGCTGCGTATGTGGAGGTCTGATCTGGGGACCTCATGGGCAGTTCTCCTGCTTGCTATCATGCACCACGCCTCAAATCCTTTAGCGACGAATCCGCTACGACCGCTGAAACGATGTGTGCCAGCGACTCGTGGAGACTGAAACAATATGCTTGCAAAACGAGGGAAAGCGAACGAGCGACGGTGCTTGGCTGCAGCCATCGCCGCTCGCCTCCTCTTCCCGGCTTTAACTCATTTATTCGGAAGGCCTTCTCCTCAGCAGGCTACAGCGCATGAGCCGCCGCCACACGCGCTGCTCCCGCAATCTGTGCTAGATCCTAACCACCAGCTATCACCACCGTGAGATGGAGCCTCTGCGCTAGGTCCACACTCGCTCTCCCCCCAGCTTCCCTCCTCGTCGTCTGCGACGCTAGCGACGTCGCCGTCCATGTCGCTGTCGCAACTCGTCGTCCACCCCTCCACGTCAAACCCTTGCGGCACCGCGAGATGCGGCACGCCCATCGCACAGAGACACATCGCGCGATTGTATCCCGCGCCACCACACGTGCACTTTGCCGTTCTAAGCGAACCGTCGCGAAAACCAGCAGAAGCGGGATACTCGCCGTTACACCCGGGAGTGTTCGGGCAAGATCCATCCCCTCGGTAAGTCGAAGATACCTCCTCTTCGTCTGCCACCGCCGCCATCGCTCCCGCTTCGGCCCACTCCCAGCACCCTCCAGCAGCACCCGTGGCTTCAATCGGAGCGTTCGAGGGAGAGGCGAACGAGGGGGATGCGGGATGAGGCGCAAGAGTTGCCTGGTGTTGCGCGGCGTGCGCACCCCATACTGCTTCCGCCACCGCCATGGCGTCCGCGGAAGGGGCAGTCCCCCACCAAAGCTCCGCGAGCGGCGTTGTGGCGAAGGAAGACGCAGGACCCGCGAGCTGCTGCAACTGCTGCTCTTGTTGCACCGCGTCGCTATACGAGGGGGCAGCGAATCTAGAATCCCTGTACAACGGGCCTGAGACACACAATCGCTGCTGCTGCTGCTGTTGCGGTGGAGCAAGAGGTCCCGAAACTGCTTTACGAGTTACGGGTGCGAAAGGGTCGACGAAAGCAGCTCTCGCCATCACTGCAGCGCTCTCTGACGACGAGTAGCTCTGGGAAGAATGGACTGGCTTTGCCATGGCCTAGATGAGCTGCCTGCGTCGCTCTTTCGATATTGAGGACGATGGTTGCGATGGTGGAATTTCTGCTGCGTCCTATGATGATAATACTGCTCTAGTTGATATCCAGCTCGTCACACGGTCTCATAAAAAATACTGCGTGCAAATATGTCTAGCAGCGGATGAAGTGCTGCAAAGTCTGCTTAGTAGTATCGTAGTGGGAAGACCTCCAACTCTTGAATGCAAGTCTCAAAAGAGCAGGGAGTTCATGGCTTTTAACTGACAACTGTCGATTGATATTGTGCAGCTAAGATGGAGGTGCTGCTGAATTCGGGAGCTGCAATTTGAACAGGCGACGGGTAACGGGGCGCGATTTAGATTCACGGCCGTCGCTCCTAGTGGCCGCGTATGCGGGCTCGGTTTGAAGGCGCGACAGCGACGGGCTGGGCTAACGAAGCGAGCGAGCAGCGAAGCGATTTGCAGTGTTCGCTATGCAACTGCCTTCGCATCCACCTATCTACACAACACCACCACGGCGGCTGGTTTGCTTTTGGGAAGGCTGTAATTTGCTACGTATCGTGCTGCGCTCCGATGGACATGCCTCGCGATCCGTGGTCAGTATGCTGCGCTGCGACTCTCGCCATGTCATTCCAGGCGAGAGAGAGCAAAGCAAGGTATGGGGCAAGCAGTGACGTGAATGTTTGGGGGGGTTCTGCCTTCCTCAACTAGGATCACCCTACTCGCGTCACCTCAACCACCCTTCTGTTGAGGCAGGCGCTTCGCACTACAGTAGCGTGTCAATGCTTGTGCATGGGGTGATACACTGCTATATTCCGCCACCCACGCAACAAGGTGGGGAGAAACGCGGAGGTGTGGTCCCAACCGTGCCGCCCAATTCCGCTCATCGCGGCGGCGGATACAGTGGCTGGGGCATTGGTGAAACAGAGACCAGATGGAGCGAGGCGAACTGTATGGGATCCCGAACAGAATTTGCGAAGATTTGTGTGCCTCACTCCAACGTTGCGAAAAGGCGTACGAGTGTGGGTCTCATCTGAGCTCGTCATTATTGCCAGCCAGGATGTACGTACGGAGGATTACGCAACTACAGTACTTCAATAAGTCGGAGTTGACACGCCGTGGCTTCATCGCGAGGACGACGTGCCAGATTCGAATCGCAAGGCGAAACAAGCAAATCGCTGAGCAAGCGCTTCGGCTCAAATGAACGACGGCGTCGCGCGTTACTGGCTCGAGGTTCACTTCAAAATCCAAGTAGGAACACATGCCGCCCCGAGATGAAACTGCAACAAGGACGACGGAGTCGCACGTGAGAGCGATTTGCATTGCTCGCCTCTCGCTCGCCAGCAATATGGCCATTCACAAATTCCTGCACGACTGGTTTGAAGTCCACGATGGGTCGATCGAAATCCATCGGCCCGCAGGAAAGCCGAGGCGAGCGCCTGGATAATCGTGATGAACTGTGCGAAAGTGGCACAGCAACTCGCTGCCCAAAAATGGGCGAAGCGCAGATGGAACCGTGTCCGAACAGTGTCAAGAATTCCTTGGATGTGTTCCCAACGATACGCGGTTCGGTAACAACTGTTCAACAAACCTCGTGAATGCGGTTCGAGATTATCGCCTGTCTCAGAATCATCGTTCAGCTTTCATATATTTGACGGAGTCGCGTCGCACAAAGTTCGTCATGTGCGCATTGAGGCACTCACGTCACACGTCAAATTGGTCGCCTCTCGCAGCTGAGGTGGTGGTGGTGTCGTCAAGGTACTGGAAAGTCAGCTATATTTCGACGTCTAGCACCATCCAAGCGTCGTCCGCTCCTTCGCAATCGCACAAGGCCGCTAGGCTGTAAAATCACATTCGTGTGTAGAACGCCAGTTCACTTCCCCCAACTGCAGAGGGTCCACAGAACTCCCGCGACAAAGGACACGGCCCTGCATATGTTTCTTGTTCGCAGCGTTTGTGTCACAATTA